TTATTCAATTTACATCGGAAATACCGGCCAAAATACTGGTTTATTTATGTCGAACTTTTTTTTAAAATGTATTTTCATTAGTTTATAAATTAAAAGTTTTACAAAAGTTATTAATTTTAGTATTTATTAAATTTAGTTCTGTACATAATTTATATTACAATAAAATAATTTCATATTTATTAAAACCGATAAAATAATAAATCCAATAAATTGGTTGAGCCGTGTACCTTTGGCTCGTCCATAATGATTATCAGTACGATAAACAAAAACTGCGTCGAAGTGCTAACACCAATGAACTCCTCCCGACCCATTTTGCAGGTCTACGAACAGGTTAATTAGAACGCATATTAGGTCGTGTGAACCGGACATAAGTCTTTCGCACACCACTTCCCATTTATGCATGTGTAATATATATTATTCAAGCAATATCATACATTTTTTTTCCACCATCTTTCTTCTCTCACTTTTCACCAAAATGGACAAGAAAAGACGAAAGTGCTAAATAATCGACAAAGGACGCCCACATTATGAGAAAAAAATAAAATAAAATAAAAAATAAAAAAATAAATAAATTAATTAATCTTTCTCATTTAGTCTTCTCTTTTGGATTATTAATTTGAAGGTCCTGAAAAATATGGAGTTCAAGTCATGCTGCCCCTGATTTAATAAAGAGCCATATATTTGTACCAAAAAAATAAATAAATAAAGAGCCATATATTGAATCATTGTTTACTTGCAACTCAAAGATTGAGACTTATTTTTCATCCCATCAGCTATATTAATTCATGTGGTTCAGTCTTTTTATATGTATTTTTGTTGGCTTTTACCCGTCGCCAAATTAGGTTAAGTTATGTCGTTTTCTAATCCCTTGAGGATGAACACCAACTCCCTTTGTCAATTTTGGCCAACACTACTTGCAACTAAGATAATTCATGGTTTTTACGTGTGGTAATAAAATTTGACCTTAAACATTGGTTATAATATATTAAATGACCATACATCTTGTTGATAATTACAAAGGCCATAATGAGTCGATCCACCTAACGGTTGAGCGGCTCGACTAATCATATTTCACGTATAATATGTAAATATACTGTGAAATGTCGTAGCTTTTTAATAAGTTTCAACTGTTGTTCTATTTGTCGCTATCAAGATCCCGTACTTGCTAAATTGTTTAACTCGTTTAGGCATGACTAATTTCACAGACAAAAACCTAATACATAGCGATTAACCCGCATTTTAAAATGTTGAGACCAAGTATAGAGAGATTCTACGGTCCCATTACGCAACCATTCTGTCGGGGTTTCTATCCGTTAATTATTCACGACGGTTACATGATGATATAACGATTACAAATCCCGGCAGAATGGTTCTGTAACGGGACTGTAGTAATTCCACCAAGTATATATGAAATATGCAGAGCTGACGAACAAGAGTATTTGTGGCTATATTAACAATTTAATAAATACACAATAATTTATGGTCCTCTAAATTTGTTGGTTGATGAATTGAAAGTCTGCAAGATTTTTGATTATTTTTATTATTTTCATGTACGATGATCATGTGTAATAATAGCATTATTATACCTTGATTTAACAGTCAGATGTTTTTTTAAAATAGCAAACGCCGATCACGCGTAGTCGGTGTTATAGTCAGTTTGCAGCAATTATATTTAATATATTTTTTTTTTCCTTTATCTCATTTGTTTTATACATTATTAACATCAAAGCTATTACACTTCCAAAATATAAAAAAATTAAAATAAAAATGTCACACACAGTTTGTTGCACTTGCATCCACAGCATGCTACATGTCCTTGTCCCTCATTCTGGAAGTGGGCTGTTTCATTTATTGAAAACTACCAATGATTTTTTTTTTTATTTATATGAACCAATTATCAATCATATTAAGTTGTCTATTTTCATTAAGATGAATAAAATATAAAAAAGTTTATAGCATAAATATATATTTTTATTAAGAATTTATAACTGAATGACTAACCTAAGATTAAACCAGTTTGAAAACAACCATACTAAAAGATTAAGGTCATGCTATCGACAGAGACAACTGCTCTGAGACCGAAGTATGACACTTAATCCCATCCGACAAAAAGGGTATAAACCACTTATCCTAGATCTTTTCCTCTCTTGAGGGTGTTTGGTCTTGTAACCTCGTTGATTGTAATTATTCCGAAATATAACATCTATCGTTTGAAAAGAAAAAAAAAAATGGGCTAGAGACCACAAAGTAGTTGGGATTAAATAGTGAAAAATACAAAATGGGGTGCTAGGTTGGCAGCAGACAGTCATTATTAGAATAAATATTAACAACCACAATTGGAATTGAATTTTTTGGCTAATCAAAATCCTTTTCTATAATATTTAAATTGACATTAAATTTCCCCACATTTTCAAATTCCATTTAAATTGACATCACTTTTTCCCCCAAATTTCAAATTCCGTGGCGCTGAACTCGTTAAATTCGTATTACAAGCAAGCGAAATCATTAATCAAATATATATTTTAATTTATAAGAATCAGGCATTACCCGATTAATTAGTAACATCGTGCAGATAATATATTTTTATAAGATTATGCATCAAATAATTTGTTTACATATAAGATAAACCAGGTTCAATTTCAAACATTAATATGCGCCAATACGTTATATGAAAACATTAATTACAATCAGTTAGACAGGCTTAAATAATGATTTAGTCATTTTTTCAACAAATATATATTTTTATATTAAAATATTATATTCTATCAAACAACATAAATAAAAATATTACATTTTTAGTACATAACAATGCTGTGATACATATCTTGTTCAAACGATACTTTTCGTGACACGGTAAAATTTTTGATGCATTTATTTCACTACTAACCAAAAGTTTAACCAGTGCCATTTCACAAAGATGGCACTCTATTGGTCCAAACCCGACCCGCTACCTAAACATGAAAAGCCCATGTTCGCAAAGAATGAAGGCCCAAAAACTATTTGATGACAATTGAGCCCACGAGAAATACATGAGCTCAATACTTATCCAAATTTGCTCACTGCAGTTTTAGACTTCAAACAAACAAATCAAAAGCAAAAGGAGCTGACATTTGAAAAACACACACACACACACAACACACACACACACACACACACACAACACACACACACACACAACACACACACAAATCATGAAAATTTCAAGTTGTGTATATCACAGGTGAAACTAACATACAACATTTTCAAAAAGTAGCCACTTAAGTTACAAACATGCCACAACTAAGAATTTTCTGCAAGCTGCACGAGATGCACATAAAAGCAGAAACACAGATTTAACAATGAAGCACATAACACATCAACATATCCTCTTCAACATAAACAGAGACAAACAAAAGCCACACAAAAGAGATTTGCTTTTAAGAACTCTGACTTACCGCTCAAAAGACTCGGAATCATCATCATCATCGTCATCATCATCCTCGGACGTTACCTCTGAACCCTCCGCCACGTCATCATCATCATCCTCGTCAATCCTAACTGTCGGCTTGGCCGCCATCCTCTTCATGGCTGCTGTTTTGCTTGCCCTCTGAGAGCGGCTGCTGGTTACAGTGGGGACCACAGAGTTCGGGGACACTTCCTCGTCAGACGAGGAAGATTCATATCCGCCCCGCGCCGCCCGTCTTCTGGATCCATTCCGGCGAGCAGACGGCCTTGCCGCCGGAGTTGGAGGCACTTCCTGGCGGCAGTTGTCCACGTCATCCAAGTTGATTTCTAGTTCGAGCTTTTCTGTTTACAAAATAGATTATACATATTAAAATATTATGTGTACAGTCATTGGGTTGATATGAATAAATAAAAAGCAGGAAGGTAAAAAGATCATAAAGTGAAGTTGCATTTACTTAAAACAATTGAAAAAATTGTTTATTTATCACAACAAAACATATCAAAAAAGGCTGTTAAAATTTTCAGTTTATGTAAATTTGTAACATTCCATAAGAAAACTTTTCGCACTACCTAAAATCAGATTTGCTTGCTCAGGCGAAAGTTTCACTTCTGGATTTTGATCTATTGCCTGTAGGCGCTCAGTCATCCGTCTCAATTCCTTTGTGAGATCTTTTTCAGCAGCCACAGAAGCAATCACTTGATTTAAGATCCCCCGCGTGAGCTTTGCAGCCTCCTGTTCTGAAACCCGGAATTGGAGCAAGACAAGTATTCTACAAAGGGCAGCAACATATGATTTTTCGGCAGCTGACTTCTTGGCCGGAAAGCTTGCCACCTTGATTATGGGAAATGATTAGTAAACACATGAAACAATTTTAGCAGCAGAACAGAAATCAAGAAAACAAAGAAAATGTATCCCACTTTTTCTTTCATTTTATTATGAGGACGAATATCTTAAAGCCTCACATGGTTTCAAATTATGCTCAACCGAAAGAAACAAGTCGAGAAAAAGAAATACAGGAAAAGAAGAAACATTAAAGGTTTTCATTTTTCTAATGAAGGATGGCCTTCGCGTTTCCTCTTAGGGGAGTAGCAAACTGCTAAACAATTTCGATATCTTTATCCACGCAAAAGACTAGTAAAACTTAATCTATATCCAGTCATACAAGTCAACTTGCAAAAACAATGCTAGTAAAGCTCATTAAAAAGAACTGTAAACAGAAGAACACTGACTAATTCCCAGCATGTCAAAACTTTGTGTCACAATCTACTTATGACTAGAAAATGAACAATTATACCTCCACTGCAATGCGTATTGCCAGACCTTCCTCTCCGCTCTCAAAATCAGTTGAAGGATCAGCATCAACAACAAGATCCTCCCCTTCAATATTGTCTGCCTTTGTTGATTCTCTCACAATTAAAGGGACTTGCATCATTTGCAGCATAAATCGTGATGCTTGTGCAGCACGCTTACGCATGTTAGACACCATATGATTAGATCCCGAAGCATTACCGTGAATACCAGGCCACAAGGAACGTATAACAGGCACAAAGGCCTTTGATATGCATTTCTGCAATTTCAGGAACAATATTTATCATGAGTTCAACATAGATGAACCTATATAAGTACAGGAATTAGAAAACATAGATTAGAAACATAGTATAGAATCATACCTTGTGATTGGCCGAAAGTGATGGATAGTGCTCGAAGAAAACGGACAGGCACTGTTTCAACCTACAGAAGAGATTATTACACATGTTAGCTACAGATACTAGGCATATCCAAGAAGAAGCCCAACCAGTTGACCGAGAAAGCAACCAACCTCTGGAGCTCATCATTCTCACTACTGAAGTACAAGCTGACGAGCTTAGCAAGTACCAAGTGATGTGTTGAAACATGTGATCCTGAAAACTTACTGCTCAAAAGAAGGATCTTTGCCAAACCTTCTCCGAGGACGCCTTGAATTGATTGATTGTCCTCCAATTCCCCAGAATCACCCCAATCGTGCCCAAGCCCCACAAATAATAGATCAAGCAGCTCGATATCCAAATCCTCGCTTTCGTTGCAAAAATCAATGGGGGCTAGTGTTGTATGGTTACGGAGTTGTGACGAGAGATTACAGTTCATGGCTCTGTCCATTTCATCCAGACCGTGCCATATTCCCAGATCGAGTAGCGCCTTTGCAGAGATTATTGCAACCATAGGAGGCGCCTTGATGAAAGAAAGTCTTAGTTGCTTCACTATAACTTCACTGGGCTTTTTCTCTAACAAACCAAAAAGACCAAGGCACCTGACAGAAGCCCTCTGGACATCCAAGTTCGAATACTTTGCCTGCATTGCACAAACCACCAAGTAAACTCATAATAGTTACTGGGAGAATTGGAAGTGGCTAGAACAGGAGAGGGTCAAATAGTTAAAAAAGCTGCAAACAACCAAGCACACACACACACACACACACACACACACACACAAAAAAAGAGTAAGGAATGAAGAGATGAGAAAAGAGGGGGGGGAGAGAGAG